CGGTTTACTAGCATTTACAGAGTTGTTGGAGTAAGCATAGGATGATTTCCCCTTCAAAGCAGGAGGGAAGCACACAGTCAGACAAGAATGGCCATGTTTTTATGAGCCTTTTTGCTAACAGGACCACCACCTGTAATGGAGAGCTATTAAAAAGGTGTTAAATGGCCCATTCATTTCAGGATTTAAATTTTGTATAACATTTTGTTTTCTACCACTCCCACTTATGTTATTTCTACACTGAAATTATCTTAAAACCAATGGCAAATTTTTTTTCAGATTTTCCCTGAGTAGAGATGGTCAGAAAAAAGCCACACACACCATGGATGTTGACTGTAATTACCCTCAGACAGCAGAATTTAAACAAATTATAGGTCAGTACAAAAAAAAGTGACAGTCCATTAACCATGACAATACATCAAAATTAGAGCTGCCCTTGAATTAAGTGAAAAGATACATGAAAAAAATGCTTTAATACTTGATGGTGCCAAGTTTAAGAGATTCAATATAATATAAAATTTGAATTAGCAAGAATTGGCAAGAAAGGATTGTCTCTCAAATTACATAGTCTCTTTTTATTGACAACTCATTTAATTTTAATTAATGATGCTTAGTTCTATGCTAGTGAATATTCTATGGTATATTTTGTAAGAATAAAGTACAGTAAAACTCCATTGGTCCAGCATCTGATGGTCCGGCACCATCAGGAACCCAGAAGTGCTCCGGGCAGCCGGACCATTGGAGCTGCTCTGCCCCCCGGCTTCCCCAAATCAGCCGCTGCTGAAACTGACCAGCGGCTGAATCGGGGAAGCTGGGGGCAGAGCAGCTGGAGTGCTGCTGGTAGGTCCCATAGCGCTGCCCTTTGGCGCTACCGGACCAACCCGGCAGCACCCCAACTGCTCTACCCCAGGCGTCCCCAAGAGCAACTGGGGTGCTGCCAGGTCGGTCCCGCAGCGCCAAGGGGTGGCACTACCGGACCAACCCGGCAGCACCCCAGCTGCTCTGCCGCAGGCATCCTGATTCAGCCGCTGCTGAAACTGACCAGCAGCTGCTGAATCGGGGACGCCTGAGGCAAAGCCGGACTATCAGAAAGGGGGAGGGGGCTATGAGAGGTCTGGGGTGACATTCCCCCACACCACCTTAGACCCCTCATAGCCCTCCCTCCCGATAATCCAGCATATCTGATAATCCGGCACCCCCTGGGTCCTAACGGTGCCGGATTATCTGAAGTTTACTGTAGTATGTCTCATCTTACTACCAAAATGCTGATGAGACCTCACTAAAAAGTGTCTCATTAAATCGGATGAGAAATAAAGAAAAAAGTCATTGGTTTCTTCACGTATACATCTGTGAGATTGTTAAACGTGTGAACATTTGTATCACTCACCTAAGATGAAGTTTTTCAAGCCCAGCATCTGCAAGGTCATCATTGGCTCTCTGATGGATATCCCTTTGAGTTTCTATTTTATGGTCGTCAGACAAACCATCAACTTTATGAATAAAAACCTCAAAGTTCATTTCTGGATTGACTTTGTAAGCTTTAGAAACTGTAATGTGAAGTCTTGTCAATGCTTCCATGTAGTCATCCTGTAATCAGCATAGACAGAGATTAACATTATAGCTTTTGGACAATTAACTCATCTTTCTCTGCTATACCTCTTCAACCAGTACGAACAATAGCAAAATAAAAAGATTTTGTTTCTACCTCTGAATAGAAACAAGCTAGTTTGAAAAACAGAAACCCAAGTAGTGAATTCTAAAGCTTGTCCTGTTACCTATAGTCAATTAACCTCATGAATTCTTATTGGTTACTCGACTACTCTATAGACCCCGGGGGGCAGGAGCAGCAGCCAGCGCGCTCTGGCCCCACTCCTAAGGAGCACCCTGCCTTTCTGCGCTTCTACCTCTGTATCAGAGAGAGCAGGGTGGGGTGCCATGCAAGACCTGATCCGCGAGGGGAGCCAGTTTAAAAACCAGCTCCTCTTGTGGACCAGCTGCCTGTCTCCCCATGCTGCTGCATCTGATACAAAGACAGCAGAGTGGGGCAGCAGTAGTCCCTGTTCGAGGAGCAGGGGGGTCTGAGCTCCCAGACCCAGCGTGAGCCGGAATGGAGCTGAACTGCGTGCCTGCCTAGCTCCTAAGACACTTGAAATGCAGAGCTGCAGCAGGGGTAGGTCCTGGACCTGGCGCAAGGCGGGACTGAGCCGGGCTGCTGGCCAGCCTGCTGAAAAATTTACCAGTGGGGGACAGCGGAGTGGAATGCGTGTAGTCTATAGCATTAACCTATAAGCTTTTGCTTATTGGTTAATCGACTACACTAGATTGATCTAGTACAACTCCTCCTATGTCTTTTAAAGCAGCCCAAGTAAAGAAACGTAAGGGTCAGTATCAAAGTAAGTTTAGGTTACAAAATAATTAAAGGGACTGCTTCTAGCCAGCATTAGATTTTAATTTGAGAAACGGATTTTTAAAATGCCACCAGCTCCCTCTACCTTAACTAGCAAGAAAAATGTACAAATAACTATCACAGTAAAGAGTTATTTATTTTGGGACATAGTAATATCATGATAGAAAATATATCAGAAGGACATAACAGGTTGTGCTGGTGGGGACAGGGCAATTTATGTGAAAAAACATAGAATGAAATGAAGTAACAATTTTAAATGACCCAAACTGTTCCATAGAATCTTTGAGAGTAATTCCATGCTCTATTAATATGAATATAGCAGTAAGGGTAGGAACACGGTCACTTAACCAGGATGGTGATAGTGCCTGTGAAATGCTAAGGGAGATCAGAAAGGCAATACAAATAAAAAAAACCTCAGTAACAGTGGGGGATTTCAACTATCCACATATTGACTGGGTACATGGCACCTCAGGATGGCATGCAGAGATGAAGTTTCTGGACAGTTTCTGACTGCTTCTTGGAGCAGCCAGTTCTGGAACCCACAAGAGAAGCAATTCTTGATTTAGTCCTAAGTGGAGCACAGAATCTGGTCCAAGAGGTGATTATAGCTGGACCGCTTCCAAGTACTGACAATCAGATAATTAAGTTTAACAAACCTGTGGTGGGACCAAAAACTGTGCCAAAACTGTGGCACTTAATTTCAGAAAAAAGAAAACACACAAAAATGAGGTTAACACAGAAATGAAAAAACACAGTGCCAAAAGTAAAATCCCTGCAAACTGCAGGGAAACTTTTCAAAGACACCATAGTAGAGGCTCAAATTAAATGTATAAACCAAATTAAAAAATGCAGTAAGAGAACCAAAAAAGTGCTGTAACCCAGTAAAAGAAGAAGTGAGAGATGAAAAAGGCATCATTTAAAAAGTGGAAGTTAAATCCTAGTGAGGAAAATAGAAGCATCAACTCTTGCCAAATGATGCGTAAAAATATAATTAGGAAGGCCAAAAAGGAATATGAAGTACAGCTAGCCAAAAATTCAAAAATGAATAGCAAGTTTCTTTAAATACATCAGAAGCAGGAAGCCTGCTAAAGAACCAGTGGAGCCACTGGACAATCAAGATTCCAAAGGAGCACTCAAGGATGATAAGGAGATTCCCAAATCTGAGCTGTGCATCTCAGTCTCTCTGTGAGGGTTGCAGGAATGGAGAGCTGTACATCTGCCAGGCTCTTGTGGGGCAGTGAGGGAGGAAAGAAATGGAGAGCTGAACAACTCAAAGCCCCTCAGTGGAGGGAAAGCTGTGCAGTGCATGTCATAGCTTCTCTGGGGCTCCAGAGGTGATCCTTGCAATTACAGACTGGTAAGTGTAACTTCAATTCCAGGCAAACTGGTTGAAACTATTGTAAAGAACAGAAATTGTCAGACACATTGGGCTGGTGTGTACTAGACCAGGCAGGTCATCTTAGAGTACACCCACGTTTCTCAAACTGTGTGTCCCAACCCCCCGAGGGGTTGCGAGCAACTCAGAAGGGGGTTGCGGTTTCTCAAAGTTTGAGACCAGAAGGGGGTTGCGGTATCTCAAAGTTTGAGAACCTTTGGGGTACACAATTCCAGCTATGTAAAATGCATAGCTGGAGCCGGCTTACCTTAAGCCAAGCTGTGGCAGCATCCACATAGCAGGAGGCTGATGGGAGCACATGCTCCTGTTGGCTTCCCTTACTTCTTGCAGAAAGAGGCGTATCAGACACAGGTGGGATCTGCCCTCAGCGTTTGATTCAGGGTTTTATAGCCACTAGATCGACCTCCAAAGTGTCGATCTTTGCGTAAGTGTTGACATGCCCACAGATTACTATAATTTGTTGGGGAAAAGTCAACAGGGTTTCTGTAAAGGGAAATCATGCCTCACTGATCTACTATAATTCTGTGAGGTGGTCAATAAACATGCAGATGAGGGGGATCTAGATGACAAGGTCCCTCACCAAAAGCTTTTAAGCAAAGGTCCTCTCATGGACTAACAACTGGTTAAAAGATAGGAAACAAAGGGTAGGAATAAATAGTCCATTTTCATAATGGAGAGAAGTAACTAGCAGTGTCCTGCAAAGGTCCAGACTGGGACTAATCCTACTCAACATATTCACAAATGATCTGGAGAATGGGGTAAACAGTGAGATGGCAAAATTTGCAGAGAATACTAAACTTCTCAAGATAGTTTTAGTCCAAAGCAGACTGAAGAGCATCACAAGATCTCACAAAACTAAGTGAATGGGCAACAAAATGATGGGACTAAATTAGCTATTACCACTCGAGAGAGAGCTTAGAGTCATTGTGGATAGCTCTCTGAAAACATCCACCCAACGCGCAGCAGCAGTCAAAAAAGCAAACAGTGTTAGAATTAATAAAAAGGAACAGAGAATAAGACAGAGAATATCTTATTGCCTTTACATAAATCCATGGTATGTCCACATCTTGAATGCTACATGCAGATGTGGTCACCTCATCTCCAAAAAGATATGTTGGCATTGGAAAAAGTTCAGAGAAGAGCAACAAAAATGATTAGGGGTTTGGAACGGCGGCTATTCGAGGAGAGATGAATAAAAATGGGACTTTTCAGATTAGAAAAGAAAACACTAAGGGGGGATATGATAGAGGTCTATAAAATCATGACTTGTGTGAAGAAAGTAAATAAGGAAAAGTTATTGACTTGCTTCCATTACACAAAAACTGGGGATCACCAAATGAAATGAATAGGTAGCAGGTTTAAAACAAACAAAAAGGAAGTATTTCTCCATACAACGCATAGTCAATCTATGGAAGTCCTTCCCAGAGGATGTTGTGAAGACCAGAATTTTAACAGGGTTCAAAAAAGAACTAGATAAATTCACTGAGGTTAGGTCCATCAATGACTATTAGCCAGGATGGGTAGGAATGGTGTCCCTAGCCTTGGTTTGTCAGAAGCTGGGAATGGGTAACAGAGGAGGGATCACTTGATGATTACCTGTTCTGTTCATTCCCTCTGGGGCAACCGGCATTAGCCACTGTTGGAAGACAGGATACTGGGCTAGATGGACCTTTGGTCTGACCCAGTATGGGAGCTCTTATATTATGTTCTTATTTATATCTACCTGTGCATCTATCACATATATCAGTGCCCCTGTGCCTCTGAAGATCATCTCATAATCAAACGTGGGATCAAAAAAGTCCATTTGTCCAGGAAAGTCCCATATCTGGAAATTCACGAAGGAACTGTTGGAAATGTCATCTTTGTAAATCTTGTTAGTACTCTCCAAAAACAGGGTCTCGTTGGGAGACATTTTATGGAACACCACCTGTAAAAGGGAAAGCAAAGACTGATTGGCTTATGACGATTTGATGCAAGTAGTTAACAATGCTGCCTTCTCTCAGAACAGAGCAAAAAAATAGTAATGACCAGAGCGTGAAGCCACACAGTGTGCAACTTGCCAGTGAAAAACAGGTCTCAAAGAAAGAAAAATGGGAAAAAACTTTAAAAGCACATAGCAAATATTGTTTATTTAGCTCATGAAGGAAATTAACCTACAGTAAAGTTGCACCAAATAATAGCTTAATTACATTAATATTACAAATCTAAAATTATCCCATCCCCAAATCAGCAAGAGACAATCTGCTCCTTTTCCCATTGTATTAGAATAATGCAGTACCTCCAGATCATCCATGTACCACAAGATTGCGATTGTGGCCATGTAATATTACAAGTCTTTGGTTCTGAAAGTGTTTACACTTCTCATTTCAGTGGGATAATTAAAATTTGGACACCTTCACTTAATTGTTACTACCAATTCAGGATCAATGTTACAAAATCAGAAACAATATATTCTAGAGTTGCTGTAACAGTTAAGAATTTATTTTTTTTCAACAGAGACCCCAAATTTTTTTTCCAGTTTTAGAGACCCAAAAATCACAAATCCTGAGATCAACTGAAATAGGGTTTGGACAATAATCCCAAAACAAATAATTTGCTTTGTTTACGGGCAGATTAGAGAACTTCTGACCAAATTCCCTTCAACATCTGAAGGTAAAAGTTGGGGGCAATTTTTAAGTGAGATCACTAGGAGAAATTATTTATGCTATGGTCACCCTTGAAGGTCACTAACTTAGATTGGAGTCCACAATATAGTTAGTGCGTATGAACAGAAAAGAAACAAATCCTGCCCCAAGATAGCCTGCAATTGAAGACAGCAACCCTAGTAGCATAAATTACCCTCAAAGACTGCACCTTGAACCTCACAAGTCCTAACAACTATTAAGCCACTGAATTGTTCCAAGTATAGGAAAAAGAAGGATTTGTACAGCACCTTTTGCAAGAGTTCAGATTCTTTGAATAAGCTTCACCTACCTCCAAAAATGAGGCCTTTCTGAGGCAAAATACAGCAGTACTGTAACAGAACTGAACACAATAACAGCTTCAGGACAAGTGAAGAACAGCAAGTTTAATTGCCACATGGGAAAGTTTGGGTGGATACAAAATAATTACTCAAATTAGGATTTGAGATTATTGGGATTAAATCTTGCTCTTTCAAAATCAGAGAGAAGATCCTTAAATGCCAAGAGCAGTCAGGGACATACCTCAGCCTTGAAAGGTAGGCCTTTCATCAGCTTGCTGTCCCACACCATCAATATAAGAGCGTTGATTCAGTGCTAAGACAGACACCTGGTCCCGAAATGGAAGAGGTAAATATTAAAAAAAAAAAACCCCAAATGGTGCCACAGGAGAACCATCATCTATTAGGAGAGCTGAATTGAAAATTCTGAAGACCTAAATTCTATTCCTACCCCTGACTTGAAATGTGACGCTGGACAAGCCACTTGAACTCTGGTTCATTTTACACGATACTGATTTAACGGCAGCTATCCAAATATTGAAAGTGAAGCAACAATCTTGAGAAAGTGTGTATTGCTATTGAGCGTGGAAAGTCACACAGCTCTGTCACAAGATGTCTGCAATCACGGGACAATCTCTCAAAAATTCCTGAGAGTTCGAACCAGAATATAAAAACAAGCCCCTATAATTTTAGGCACAGCTAGAACTAGAAAATTTCAAGTTACAGTCCCAAGATAGGGTTGTGGCAAAATTTGCAGAGAGCAAGGCCTGATCCACACTATAGAGTTCAGTCAACATAAGGCAGCTTATGTCACTAACTCACAGATGTCTATACTACAATACCACTCCTGCCAATGTAAATTGCCTGAGATGCCAACCTAATCACTCCACCTTCCTGAGAGCAGTAAGGCTTAGATCAAGATAGTTAAAGCAACTGAGTGTCTGCATTAGGGATGTAAATTAGCGATTAATACGCAATTAGTCAATAAGGGTGTGTCTATTCAGCAGGGCTTAACTTGAAATAAGCAAAGCAAATTGAGCTACGTCAACTGCATAGCTTATTTCAAAACAGCTTATTTCAAAATTGGGAGCATCTACACAGCACTTATTTAAAAATAGAGCACTCTTCCTCCGACTTCCCTTACTTCTCGTACAATGAGCGTACAGGAGTTGGAACAAGAAGTCCTCCAGCTTGACAGTATTTTGACATTATTTAGAAATAATTGCATGCTGTGTAGATGCAGACCAAGTTGTTTCAAAATATCAAAGTGATGTTGCTGTGTAGACGCACCCCAAGGGGGTTAGCTCCCAGAGAAAGCACATGGCAGGAATTATCAGCCCCGGTTCATGCTGGGTTCTCCGCTGTACCTCTGCCTCCACTTCTCCTCCTCCCCAGATGGTGCTGGGGGGGGGGGGGAAATGGCCTTTTAAGCCGGCTCCCCCCAGTGTTGGCTCCTGCTGCCCCCCCATCCTGCCACTGATACAGAGGCAGCAAGGAGTGGGGAAGCGAACAGTTGAGTAGTGACTCAACTAGTCGCTTACAACCCTAGTTTGCATTACTTGTCAGTTCACAGATGGAGCCCCCCGGAATATCCTCACTTAAATTGCTGCCAAGGACACCCACCACTGGAAGAAGGAGGGAGTATGGACATAAAAAACGGCAGTGGTTACTGTGGTGGCCATACATCAACTTAAGGCAACAATTTGTCAGACACAATCCCCAAGAATACTAATGTTAGCAGAGCTTAGAGAAAAGTCACAAGCTTCAGAGAGACCTGACAACAGTGATCTGGAAACAGGAAAGCAGTTTAGCACTTTGCATTCGTTAACAATGAATTTAAACATTTGAATGATGTATACATCTTACCAGGCTACAAGTTAATTCAGGAAAAAAAAAAAAGACTTGGAGATCACTGTGGGCAGTCCGGTGAAGATTCAATAGATGCAGCAACTCCTATCAAGGAAGCTAGCAAGGGGCCATAGCGAAAAGGAGCAACAGCACTGGAGATGCATTAGAACTACATATCCAATTCATTAGGGAATAGCACTAGCTTATAAGCAGTGTTCCAAAGCAAATGACTTGTCCATGATTTCATGGAATCCAGAGCTGGCCATAAAAATTCACTTTTTTGTATTCAAGAATTGTTCAAGTCTGTCTTTAGTCCATCCTCTTTGAGGTGTTCATGAAATCTCATACACTTTTGAAGAAAGAGGGAGTGTGGCTTATGTCCTAAGGACTCTTAGAACAGCCACAGTTTTAAGAACTTTTTCCAAGGACAAAGATGGATGAGACATGAATAATGTAAATTTAAATTCTCTAAGAACTTAATAGGGAGGATAACCTATTTCAGCAGCCAAGCGAGGACACAAATAGGAGCTATTCAAGGGCATCAAGTCAATCACTGAGAATGAATTTAAGAACTGCCTCAGACTTTCCAGTACTAACAAAATGAAGTGACAAACTATTCCAGCTTATAACAGCCACATGGCCAGTGTTGTCTACTGATTCTTACCATGCTTTTCAGCAGCCATCCACAACTTTTCCTTGTGGTTTCGTCCCCCTTCCCCGCCCTTGTACCACATCTCACCGAGTTTGAAAAACCGACTTGCCCACAGCAAGCAGCACTGGGCAAGGCCAAGCAGACTTGCCAGACTCACGTTTTAAAAATCCTAAGTCAGGCCACACAAAATCATTAATTTAGAGTCATCATGAGATTTTAAAAAGTAAATACACTTGAAGGATTTTTTTCATCTGCTTTCTGGCCTTTGCATCTTCAGATGTTACATTTTCTAGTATTTTTCCACAATCAGGGCCAGAAAGTTGTGTTAAAAACTGGGGTAACCTCCAAGTCCAGGGCTTTAAAAAAGGAAGTGCCAAGACTCATGACATAAAAATTGTGAGTGTTCACATATTTAGTGAGGACAGCATTATTCTGAAGCCCTGAGCTGAGTGTGTGTCTGTGTCTGACTGAGGTGTCATCATCATCTGCAATCCCTCAGTTCAAGGATGACCTATATCACAGATTTACAGAGGACTCCTGAGTCAGCTCATGATCCATATCTGGGAACCACAGATGAACTGGGTGGTCAGCTATCTGCTGAGAAAAAGTTGTTTTTTTCCCTTCCTTGTCTTTTTCAGCTTCAAGGGGAAGGAGATTCTCCTCAAAGCAGGCCACTGCCTGATGGAAAAGGTGGTACAAAGGAGGTCAGTTGGTGGCTTGCTCTTCCCAGCTTGCAATGTCCATATCAGTTTTCTTGAAATGCACTTTCAGTACATCTTTGTAGTGTTTCCTCTGACCGTGGCGGAGCTGAAAGCAGAGAACTTGGTTTGGGAAGCCTGAGTCTGGTATCTGCACACAACATCCAGCCTAGCAGACTTACTGCATGAGGTCATACAACCCGAGCAATTGAGATGCAGGAGAAAGGGAATAAACCCAGGAGACCAGGCAGAGAGAAGGGTAGCCTAGCAGTCCATTTAATTTCATGTGGGTGGGAAGACTTGGCCATTTAGCTCTCAGGTGTTGAGAACTGTATTCAAGTTTTGACCATAAAGATCAGGTTTATTGTTCAGATTGCTATTGCTTTGGCCATGCTCCATGCTGTGATTCTCTGACACCTCTTTACGACAAGGCAGGGGGCACAAAAAAACAGCTTAGCAAGGAGGACTATGTACAGACTCTGAAGACCTGGAGGCAAGAACTGAGTATCACTGGAACTCCGCTGCCTTTTCCCCCCTCAAGTTGTGTTTCTGTTTTGAAGCTTAAGACAATGACAGAATGCCTTAGCAACCCTATGACGTCTAACAGCAAGTCTAACCCATTGTTGCCAGCTGTTGATGTATTTACCACCCAAAAGCATCCATCCTTTTCTTTGGCCCAAAGAAGCAAATCATAAAGAAAAATCTAGTTATGCTTTTGCCCCCAGATAATGAAATCTGAATAGCTTCTAAAATATGTTTAAAAACAACAAAGGGCATGTCTGAACTGGCAATTTTAATGACAACTAAGCAGATTCATCACATTTAGTGTGGCTTCACTTTGATTTGAATATAGGGTCAGATAAAAACCTCAGAAACATCAGCTGGTTTCATTTCCTGACATACACCTTGGTTTTGGGGAAGGAAACACCTGTGCATCAGGAACAACAGAGGCTTGTAGCCCAAACTCAACATACCTCTCTACAGACACAGAAAGCATTTGGGGAAATAAGACCCTTCTTGTTTAACTTCTCTATGAGCTGCTACTTTAAAAAGAAGAAGTTGCCTACTAACACGTACAAAATGGAGACACGTTCTCCTTAGAAACAAGCCGCTAGAGGGTTCAAGACAATGCAGGGGGCACTTTCCACCAATACCCCCAGGCAGGAAGACAAGCACCTCCCTCCCTCGGGGCTGCCAGGCTGCTCAAGAAACACAGCCCCCTGCCGTAGGCAGACTACCACCGACTTTACTGCGAAAATAGGGCATCAGGACCATGCAAGCTCAGGGCCCATTTCAATGTATAAGGGCAATTCCATTGGGCTTCTCTCCCGACTGCGGTGCCTCCCTGATGCGGAGGGGAGTGAGGGTAATGGGAGAAGGCGGGAGTGGAAGGGCAGGAAAATGCAGCAGCTCCTGCTTCGCCCCCGCACCCCGTTGCCACGCAGGGAGCCCGCCCCCCCA